TTCCAATGAACAGCTGGTAGATTTGAACTGCCAACCGTTTGGTCAGTAGCCATATCACTTAACCACTGTACCACCAGGGCTCCAGTGGACATAGGAGGAAACAGAAAAATGTGGCCCATACTCAAGAGAAAAGGCAATCAATGAGGACCAATTCTGAGATGACTCAGATATTGAAATTTGCACACAAGGATTTTAAAGCCGTTGTTATAACTATAGTCATGGATATAGAGGAAAATATGCTTGTAATGAATGAAGAGATAAAATCTTAACAGAAAAATAGAAACCATAAAAAAGAACAAAATGAAAATTCTGAAACTAAAAAATACAATATCTGAAAATCTTTTTAAATCCATTGGATGAGCTTAAGAACAGATTGAAGATGAAAGAAAACATCAGTAAACTTGAAGACAAATCCAACCTGAATGACAGAGGAAGGGAAAAAAAGAGCCTCAGGGACCTGAGGGATGTTATCAATAGATCTAATATATGTGTAAGTGGAGTCTAAGAAGAGTGATAAATGGACAGAAAAAGTATATAAATAATGACAAGAAATTTCCCAAATATGGACAGACAAAATTTTATAGGCTCCAGAAGCTCAGAGAACCCCAAGCAGAATAAATACAAAGAAAAACTACATCCACACACATCACAGTCAAACTAAAGAAAACCAAAAACAAATAAACCTTGAAAGCAGAATTTTATATATATATATATATGTACAGGGGAACAATGAGAAACAAAGGAGTCGGAGTCAGAAGACAGTGGAATAACATCTTCAAAGTGCTTTAAAAAAAAAAATCTCGATTCTATATCCAACAAAAACATCCTACAAAAATGAAAGCAACATAAAGATATGTCCAGCTAAAGGAAAACAAAAAGAATTCATCACTAACAGACCTAAAAGTACAGAAAATGCTAAAGAAGTTCTCTAGGCTGACAGGAATTGATAACACATGGACATTTAAATTGTCAGGAAGGAATAAAGAGCACCAGAAATGGTAACTACATTAAATAAACTATTTTTCTCTTCATTTAAAATATATGACTACTTAAATAAAAACATGTAAATTATATTGTGGGGTTTATGACATATATAGATACAATACATACGATAACTATAGGATTAAGTATGCAGTAAGAGGGTAAATGTACCTATATGGTTCCAAATGCCTTACATTTTAAGTGAAGTGATAGAATGTTAACTTTAAGTAAACTATGAACAATTAATCCCTACAGTAACCACTCTAAAAATTATGCAAGAAAGTATACCTAAAACGCCAATAGATAAATTAAAATGGAATTCTAAAAAACATTCAATTAATCCATGAGAAAGGAAAACAGAAGAACAAAAAACATTGTGACTAACAGAAAACAGAAAATGGTAGGTTTAAATCTGACCATATCAATAATTCTATTAAACATGAATGGAATAAAAATGTACCTATTATCAGCACTTGTCAGTCATTGCTAGACACAGCTATACATCTCATTTTCATCCTGAGAGTACCACAGACATGACTTACTCGTTACCATCGAGTTGATTCCGAATCATAGCGACCCTACAGGACACAGCAGAACTGTCCCATAGGGTTTCCGAGGAGCAGCTGGTGGATTTGAACTGCTGACCTTTTTGGTTAGCAGCCGTAGCTCTTAGCCACTGCGCCATGAGGGCTCCAGATGAGTTACCTGTATTTGTGCTCTGATTCCAACTTCCTAGGCAACCAAAGCTCTGCTGACTTTTTCAAACAGCCAGAGACCACTAAGTTGTAAAGTTTAGGACGTTCCATAAGTCTTTCTGCCTGCGTAAAATTTCTCCACTACAAACTGCTGCTATGCCTGAACCGTCAAGCACTCTTTAGGATAAGACTCCAAGGTGTCTCTAAAAAAATGCAAATGCTCTGCCAGGAGAATACATTAAACCACTAGCATCAATTAATATTCCTTCAAAGATTGATTTATCTGATACTTAATAGCAATGCTACCTTTGAGAAAATGGGACAGCTTGTGATAGATGGAAGAGCAGGCCCTATTGGAATCCAGAGTAGGAGGCCACAGCGATCAGGGGAAACAAAAGAACACCAGGCCTCCAGAGAACAGAGGCTGGAGAGAGTCAGAAAAGAGGCAAACGTCCAACACCTAATGACTGGATAAATAAAATGTTGTGTACACCCCATATCATATTACTTGGCAATGAAAAGGAATGAAGTACTGACACATGCTACAACACTGTTGATTAACTGTGAAAATATTATGCTAAGTGATATGTCAGTCACAAAAGACTACATATGATTTCTTTTATATGAAATGTCCAAATTAGGCTACTTTTTAGAGACAGAAAGTAGATTAGTGGTTGCCTAGGGAAGGGCAGGGGAGCAGCAAAGGGAGGTTGGAGAAGGAGGTGACTGCTAAAAAGTACAGGGTTTCTTTTTGGGATGATGAAAATGTTCTCAAGTTGGTTGTGGTGACGGTTGCACGACTGAATATACTGAAAATCACTGAACTGTACACTTTAAATGGGTGAATTGTATAGTGTATGGATTTTATCTCAATAAAGCTGTTACTAAAAAAGAAGGAGAAGGAGGTAGAAGAGGAAGGGAGGAAAGGGGGAAGAGAAGGGAGGAGGAAAAGAAAAGGTTCTGTACTCAACTACCCCTTGAACCTCAGTTCAAGCCAAGGATAACCTATTTCAGTAGCTCTAGCACAAATCCTCCTGGTCAACTTACCTCAAAAGCAATTTTCTGGAGGACTGAAGTACTGCGTGACATTAGAAGGGAGCAAAGTAGTATGTTGTCGTGAGGAAAAAAAGTTTTTTAAAAAGCTAAACCTACAGTCAGAGAACTAGATTCAAGAATCTGTTCTACCAATTAGTAACTATATTTTTGGATACATCATTTAATCTCTCAATGGTTCCCTTTTCTTATATGTATATGGATATGATGAATACTAACATTTCCTTGGGCTCTAAAGATTTTATGACTGAAACATTCTGACTTAAGTGTTGCCATGAGCTTAACAATAATCTCACAAACCACTGCTCCTGACTTTTTTCTGCCTTCACCTCTCACACATATATGTATACATACACACCCAACATGCAGAGTTAAGGAGATATGCAATAAGTGAGAGTCACAAATAGAAGGATCATGTGCCCAAGGTAAAGTGTACAGTCCCTAGCTCTGACAAGAGTTACTGCTTCTTAACCTTCTCAAAGAGTAGCACAGGGGATATCTTATTGAGTCTTGTATACTCAGTGTAATTATGTAAGAGTCTCTAGGTGGCATAAATGGTTAAGCATTCGACTACTATCTGATAGGTTGGCAGTTCGAAGCTGTCCAGAGATGTCCTGGAAGAAAGGCCTGGAGATGTGCTTGTGAAAGATCACAACCTTGAAAACCCTACGGAGCACAGTCCTACTGTGACACACATGGGGTCGCCATGAGTCGAAACTGACTCAATGGCAACAAGTTTGATTTTTTTATTTTTGTTTTTTGGAATTATATAAATATAACCACTCTTGTTATTTAGTATTTATTTGTTTCATTTACTACAAAACAAAATTGCAAACATTACAGTAAACATCCTGAAAGAGAGCTTGTCCAATTCTGTAAATGCTTCCATACGTAACCTTTTCAAGCAACAGACCTAAATTCTAAACCTTTTGTATCCACAACAGTACCTAGCAGAATGCGAGGCACAGAGTTAGTGCTTAATATTCACTTATTGCCTTCAAATACCTCTGACAGTTGAAATATGTTGTATCTATTAAGTTTACTCTTCTTCCCAAGAGCTGTACAGCAGTTTTATATTAAATTCTAAGACTAAATATTTAACCGTCATTTTTTTTATTTGTAATAGAGAAATCTATTAGTTGAGGACTCGTTTATTAAGGGCTGACTCAAGGAGAAGAAATAGTGAAGTGCTGAGGAAAAAAAGAGAGAGAGAGTTTGATGGGGAACACTTCATTATTTCCAGAAGTTGAGCCAAATTCAACTGTCTTCCCTATTGTTCATAGGGCCAAAATCTACTTCTTACTAGAAGAAACTATACACAAACTTAAACAAATAATATTTGGTTACAACTATTTTCAGCACAAATAGCACATCAATTTTATGTTAAAAACGCATTAATTCAGAAAAGCTAAAAAATAAATAATGAAACTTTCAATAATCCTCTCAAATATACACCAGGTCTCTTTTGTATTTATGGAATTGGGGAGTTCCAGGAAAGGAGCATAGTAGATACTCAATAAGAATTTGGTTTTTTCCTTTTTCCTTCTCTTCTCTTTTCCTCTACTCAACTCAAAATATATGCACTAAACCAAGGCAATAGAGGAAAAAAGAATATTCTGTCTGCTCTTTTCTTCCCTTTCCAGTTCCCCAAAACAAGAACATCAGTTTTGGTTCAGGAATAATGAGGGAAAAGTTGGAGGGAAGTTGATTCCAGCCTTTTAATTATGAAACCTAACCATTTCTTCCAATTCATGCTCAAAATGACAGCCCTACCAGACAGTAGGCAAACATCTGAGTACCCAGGATCTTTAAAACCAAATGAGAAATTAATTTAAATGATAAAAATATTATTATGCTCTATCTCTCATGTTCACAATTAATGTACTGGATTGATCTCAAATTAGAGAAGGCAAAAACAATTTCAGTAAAACTTGCATGTAATATTAATATTGTTCTATAATTTCTGCATTCTAACACAAATCTGTCTTGGAAGAAGTACAGCCAGAATGCTCCTTAGAAGGGAGGATGGCAAGACTTCATCTCACGTACTCTGGACATGTCATCAGGAGGGACCAATCCCTGGAGAAAGACATCACGGTTGGTAGAGAGTCAGCGAAAGAGAGGAAGACCCTCAACAAGATGGACTGACAAAGTGGCTGCAACGATGATGGGCTCAAGCATAGCAACAATTGTGAGGATGGCACAAGACCAGGCAGTACTGTACATAGGGTCGCTGTGAGTCGGAATCGACTCAGCTGCACCTAACAACAACAAAAATAATAGACAAAACACACATACAAGTTTTTCTTTACTAACCAATAAAACACAAAATAAGAAAACATGTTTCATAAACGAATAGCTCATAACATTAGGAAATAACTCATTCTACAATCTCTTTGAACTGGTTTTCCATCAATTTCATCAGGTTTCTTTTCTTCACTTCTATTTGGGTGAAAAATCCCATAATAAACAGTAAGAAAAATAATTCCAAGGAGAAAAGTAAAAGCTATAATGACAGTGATAATTATAAAATAGTCTGAAATAAAAACAGAGGGTAGGCAGACCCAGAATGCAATCAATATATACAATGTGGCCAGTACCTTTACAATATAATAACAAGACATTGGACATTTGGTATTCTGTCCCTTAACATTAAAAAATGTAAAGACCAGAATGAATCCAACAACAATCCTGTATAAGAATTCCATACCTATGGAAGCACAAAACTGGGTCTGCTTTTTAAATGCCCACATTATACCTAAAAGCCAAAGAAATAACAACAGGAATAAAGCAATCTTAACATTTAAGAACAGTAGAAGTACAACACTCAGAATCCAAGATAATAATGTAAACAACTTGTAAAAGAGATACATGAATTTGGGAGAGAATCCATTAAGGGGATTTTTATCAGGCAAGGATTTCCTTAGAGCTATTTGATAATCAACAGTCGACCAAGATATACCACAGCAAGTGACCATGATGGCTGCATCTACAAAACAAAAAATATATATTGTTATAGGGATACTAATAGCAATATTAAATGTACTATCTGCCATACATGGCTTTTCTGTAAACATATACCCACAAACACACATAAGTCACCTTATATACTCATCTCATCTAACCCTTTGAGGTAGATATTAATAGTCCCATATTACACATGAGGGAACTGAGACTTGGAGAAGATATATTACTTGACCTAAGTCACACAACTAGCAAGCAGCAGGGCAGTACTGGGCTTTGAACCTAAATCGACCTGATTCCAAAGTTGGTGTACTTAACTGTATTAGACTGCTTTATAATGATTTTGAATAAATTCATTGGACAAATATTTAATGCACAACTGATACAGTGGAAACTGCATACTTCGGTAGTTGAGAGACTATACCTCTAAGTCCTAACTTTTCCTGTCTTTTTTACTTTGACTTTGGACATATACCTAACTCACTAAGAGACAGCATCATAAAACATAAAGAGAGAGAAAGATGTTAAAAAGAAAATTTAATATAAGTATGAGGTATCAACAAGTTCATTCTCCCATATCTTGAAGATAATAGATCAAATGAACAAGTATGTTCTAAAACTTACAGATGTCTATAACCTCAACATCTTTACCCTATTTCTTTGCCCAGCCAATAAAGAAAACCAAGTTCATCACTACTTTGGAAAGGTAAGTCATCAGTCCCACTTTCAAGCTGGAGGCTTTTATAAAAGTGAAAGCAAAGATATTAGAGAATTGAAAAAAAAAAAAAAAATTCAGAGCAGAATACAGGGTGCTAGTCATTTCCATTAAGCCTAACTGGAGGCCTGTATTATATGATAGAAAGGTAGATTTAAGGCGGGTTTATCTATTGACAAAAATTATGAGAAGGACCTTATAAACACCTCTGTCCACTCTCCTGATTTCAGCATATACCACCAGGGACTTCTCAGCTAGCTGGATTTCTTATTTTCTTGTCTTTCTGCTTTCAAAAATACTGTAATTAAAACATCACTTTCCGCTAAATTGTCCTGTGATTTTTTTTTATAGTTGGTTTTAATTTTTACCACACTAACACATATACACAATTTTTAGGTCAAAAAGTTATAGCTTATTAGAAAAACAACAGCACCCTGTCTACCTCTCCTCCCCCTTAGTCACACTCTCCAGAAGAAATCACTTTAAACTCTTCTAAGTTTTTCTTCTGAAATTGAATGCTATACTTCTAAATGAAGTATATATGCTGCTGTATCTTAATTTATCTCTTTTAGACATTGTCCATTAATTTCCTACTGTGGAAGAGGAAAATTTAGCATGCGCATGCACGCGCGCGCGCGCGCGCGCACACACACACACACACACACACACACACCCCTCCATTTTCCTCTGCCTCCATCCACCCAAAAGAGTAACATCACAATTTTTAGCAAAAATCAGTATTCAGTTTTTACCTTATGTGAGTACAGTTGTTTTGTTTTTTAAACTGCTCAGCCAAGTACTACATTCTGATTACATTTCCTTTCTTGTAAAGCTTTTCACTTTTCCTGGAGTCAATAATTGCCTTATTTCCTTACTTGCTCTATAGGGTTGCTATGAGTCGGAATCGACTTAACAGCAACAGGTAAAATCCCTATTTCTTCACATCCCTGGATCATGCAAATGCTTAAGCACACAGCTGATAACCTAAAGATTGGCAGGTCAAGTCCACCCACAGGTGCCTCAGAAGAAAGGCCTGGCAATCTACTTCCAGAATATCAGTCATTGAAAACCCTATGGCACACAGTTCTATTCTGACACACATGGGGTCACCCTCAGTCAGAATCAACTGTATGGCAACTGTTGGGGTTTTCTTTCACTATTTCTTAACAAATTCTTCAAATGACTATAAAACTCCTCTGAAAGTCATATACACCTTTAAGGGGAGAATACCATCCTTCTGCAGGTAACTTCACTCTTACCCTGAGGCAAGTGCCTTTGAAGCCCCATCTTTATGGGATTAGGATTTACTGTAAAATTTGCCTCCTTGTGAGGACCCTGACTTTTGTCTTCTGTCCTCCACACTCTGAAAAGCCATCAGAACTGAAGCTCCACTTTGTAAGATTCAGTGAATATCCTCAGGGTATAAATGTCTTCGGAGTCATACTTAACCATTCTGGGTTCCCACTTCCATGAATATTTTGGCCAGTTGTATCTTGTCAGATCTTTGTTGCTTTTAGGAAGGCTTTTTAAAAGATTTTATCCAATAGTCTTAGATATTTTCAGATATTATTTCAAATAATTAAGGCTTTCAGTGAAAGGGTTGTTTTGAATAACCTAAATTCTCTGTTTTCTATCTGCTAAACATTTGTTGACATTTCTAATCTATTGTTCTACATTATCTCTGTCCTTGTGAGTTTATACTGCTTTTACTTCTTTACTCTAATTTTTAGTGTGACATCAAGAAGAAGCAAAGATAAAAGAACATGTTCAGTCTTCTGAACTGCTTCTACATATAACCTGATTTTTTTTTTTTTTTTTTTTGGTACATTTTGAGTTACGTTTTCCTGATTGTCAGACCAATACATGTTAACGTAGAAAATCTGCAAATTCAGGAAAACATGAAAAAAAAATAATCACAATCCCACTACCCAGAAGCAGCCACAGTTAATATTTTGGCATATCTTCTTCCAGACATTTTTCTATATAATAATCTCTTTGTATCCTAAAAATTATGTTTATAGAAAATTTTATAAACTGTTTTTTGTCTAAATTTTATTTTATAATTAGTACTTTCTAGAGTCATTAAAAGTTCTTTGCAACACATAATGTTTCATCCTAACAGTTTATAAAAATTTATTTACCAATTTCTCTATTGTTAGACAATTAGATTATTTCTCACTTTTTGCTATTTTTAACTAACTTACACCTCAGCTACTTACTTCAAGGAGAAACTATAAGGATGAAGACAGAACCACAACATAAAGATAATGGCTACTGTATCCCTGCGACACCTGAAGGCTAGTGCAGATGCTATGTAGCATCTGGAATCATTTAGCGTATCTCTGAATCGGAATCAACTGGATGACAAAGGGCACCATAATACAGGCTGTAAGTTCAAAATGTTTAACTTCTAATTTAAGGAACTATATGATACATAACTTTTAAGTCCCACCTATGAATTCTCTGTATCATTAGGGAAAAAGAGATGTTACTTATACACAATGGGTTCATTTCAGTGTCTTACTAACAATCAAAGTAAAGGCAAAAATATTAGAAGGGAATATTCCCTAGAGGGTTATGGGAAATTGGGAGTAGGGAGACTGGGAGGATATGCTGATCTCACAGGTGAGTCCAGTGCAGAAGCAACTACAGGGAGGATGACAATCTGCCCCCTTGAGATAAATTCAAGTACACATAGAACCCTAGTCATTAATGAAAACTGGCACTATTATTCAGAAAATAAATATTATTTTTCTTGAATCTCAAATTAAACACCTATTAAAAGATTTTTTTATATAAAGAATGAAAATACCAATCTGTCCTAAAAAAAAAAACTATTTTATTCTTGTAAGGAAATCTGCCATGAAAGAGTAAACATACTGGCTCACTTGCAAAATTTTCATAAGTTTTGTAGCACTTACAGCTTCACCCAGCAATTCCAATTCTTGTAATTTATCCTACAGATATACCTCACACATGCAAAATGATGTATATATAAGGTTATTCATCATACTATTTTTTTCAATAATAAAATATTAGAAATAACCTAAATAAATACAAATCAGGTGCTTGTCAAATAAATTATGGTACATCCATAATTTGCAATCCTATGCAGATAGTAAAAATGAATGCAGAAACTCTTCATGTACTGATATGGGTATATCTCCTAGACATACTGTTAAGTTAAAAAAAAGTGTAAAAGAAAAAAGATTAAAAAGAATACATGCTTTTTGGAAAAAAAAAATCTCCAAAAGGATTAACAAAAAACTGACAACAGTAGTTCACTTTTTGGACAGATGAAGAAAGGGGTGGGGAGGAGAGGGAGGAAGACATATCTTTTCATACTTCTTGATCTTTAAACCACATGACTGTATTTCCTTTTGAAAAAATAAATAATTTTTAAAAGAAAAAGAATAAAAACTTTCCAAAACCTGCTGCAGAGTTATGCAGTTAACATAAGATCTCAGTGGCATCCATCTAACACAAGATACTGAGAAAGACTTACACGGACTGAAATTCCCTTGACCTTGCTCCAGGAGGCTGTAGAGCTGAAGAACCAGCTGTGGGCAGCCTTCCAAGTAGGTCTCAAACAGCCTGAGCATGCTCAAATCAGTCACTCTATCTATAACTTCTTTATGTAGATCAATTTGTTCTTCCATGGAGTTATTAGTTTTGGTGCTATATTTGAAAGCCACATGGTGACCCTTTTTTAAGACAAACCAATACCTATAAAGTAAACACAAACATTTATTTTCAGTAATATATTCTTTATAACGTGTATGTTAGTATACATGCTGATTCTGAGAAAAGTGACGTGTTTAAGAACAGAATTTTTCCACAAACTTTCTCTAATACAGACTTCTCTCAACTTTGTATACATTTCATGGTGCCTTTGTTGAGATTCGGACTCCATAAACTTTTATTGCATGCTCTGATGTGCCAGTTCTATGTTAGGCCTACTAAGCATACATGATCTCATTTCATCTTCACAATAATTAAGTAAGATGAGTAGGTATTATTCCCATTTCACAGATGGGAAAACAAAGGCTGAGAAAGGTAGAGTGATTTGCTGAAAGTTACGGAGAGTAACGGTCCAAACTCAGATCTTATCATTCCTAGTCTTAACATCTACTTTCTGAAAGACAAACTGCAACTTTCAGTTCATGCAATTTCTCTTACATACAACGCACATACATGACCTTATGATAATGTTAAGTTTGAAGATGAAACTGAATCTTCTTTCGACTTAATCAAGCAAACAATTACTAAATACCTACAAGGTGTTAGGTTCTTCAACTAATTACCATCTCGGAAAACATAAAATTTCAAAGACTTCAAACATCCCCGCTCAGGCTCTTCGTTTAAAAGAATTTAAAAATGAACAGGAGCTATCATCATTCAAGTAAAATTTATAACAACAAAAAACAAAAAACTGAGGCTTGTTTAGAAGAAATCTGAGGCTAGTGGCAAGGCAACCAGGACGCTTTTATTCTTTAAAGAAGGAAGCCACTATCAGAACTCTTTATCTACACCTCAGTTTCCTCATATATAAAATAAGAGCAGCTCTATATCCTGTTTCAACTTGATCTTTCTGCCAGTGTTTTCCACTTCAGTAAATGGTACTACCATTCACCATGTTGCTCAGACAAAAAACTTAGGAAGAATGTCCAACTACTCTCTTTTTCTCATACCCTATATTTAATTTCTCAACAAGTTCTAACTTCAAATAAATCCAGAATTTAAACACTTCTTACTACCTCCACTATTACCACTGTAGTTTAAGCGACCGACATCTCTGGCCTGGATGATTTTTAGTCTCATAGCTGGTCTCTCGGATTCTACTCTCACTCCCCATACAAACTATACTCTACACAGCATCCATTTTGAACTTTTTAAACATAATTCAGATGTCACTTCTCGGCTTGAATCGTTCCAATGATTTTTCATCAAACTAAAAATGAAACCCAAAGTCTTTACTACATCTTACAAGGCCCTCCATGCTCTGCCTCCCACACCCGCCACCACCACTACCTTTCCAATCTCATTTCTCCCACACCTCCAGTGTGGCACTGAACCACACTGCTCTCCTTGCTGTTTTTCCCAACTTAAAGGCCTTTGCCTTTACTATTCCCTTTATCTGCAACTCTTCTAAATCCCAAATATTTCAAAAGTTTGCTCCTTTACTTCATTCAGGTATAGGCTCAAACGCTACCCCCTCTAGAGGCTTTCTGAGACCACACCATCCAAAGTAGCACTCTCTGTCATATTCTGTCCCTTTACCGTCTTCTAGTTTTCTTCATGGTACTTATCACCTAACGTGTTATTTATTATTTTTACCTTCTCACAAGAATGTAACCAGTAACCAGCTGCTGTGAAGTTGATTCCAACTCATGATGACCCCACATGTGTCAGAGTAGAGCTGTGCTCCATAGGGTTTTCAATGGCTAATTTTTTGGAAGTAGATTACCAGGACTTTCTTCCAACCCACCTCTGGGTAGACTTGAACCACTAACCTTTTGGTTACCAGCCATAACCCTTTGCACCAACCAGGGATTCCCATAAGAATGTAATCTACACGAAAGCAGGAACTTTGTTTTGTCCATTGCTACATCCTAAGCAATTAGAACAGTGCCTGGCACATAGCAGGTGCTCAAAAAATATTCACTAAATGAATGGATAAATGAAAGCTCAAGACATTTGTCCTGTAAAGATGAGATGGAAGACATGAAAGGACTTGGAAAGTTGAAAGTAAAACACACATATAAGATATTTCTATTGCAAGTAAGATGTACACATATATGGTTATGTAAAGATTCCTTATCTGACAAATAGAAGTATATTTTTGCCATCACAGTTTTGGAATGACATGGTTCATTATAGTCAATGTGAGCTAGGTGCAGGTAGGGAAAAATGTGTATAAAGATAATGAAGGCACGGTCCCTAACCTCAGTGATCTTACAATCCAATGGGAGGGTCAAGTCTGTAAACTACTAGCTGCAATACGAGGCAGAAGAAATAACTGCTTATTAGAAATATAAACAATTTGTCGTGAAAGCACAAAAGAAAAGAAACTACTAGTACTGCCTAGGTATACACTGGTTCTATGGGGAGGGGTGGGGGATGGGGAGCGGAGGAACCTATTGCCATGGAGTCAATTCCAACAAATCAGCTTCACAGCAGTGGGTTTGGTTGGAGTCCTGGTGGCGCAGTGGTTAAAGCACGCGGCTGCCAACCGCAATGTCAGCGGTTCAAACTCACTAGCAACTTCATAGGACGAAGATGTGGCAGTGTGCTTCTGTAAAGATTCACAGCCTTGGAAACCCGATGGGGCAGTTCTACTCTGTCCTATAGGGTCGCTATGAGTTGGAATCAACTCAGTGGCAGCGGGTGTTGTTTTTTTTTAAACAGGGGAAATTGCATTTTCACTTTTTCTGGGTATCTCACACAATAGGCAGTATGTGGTTCCTGTTCTTAAAATGGTTTATAAACCAGTAGGATAGATACCACTAACCGAAAAAACTTGAAAAATTCACAAATACTAACAGGTATACATCTAGTGCATAATTAGTATAGGCAGCATAGAGCAGGAGGGTAGAAGGGCACAATGATTGCTCTTGTTGTTAGTTGCCACGGAGTCAATTCCGACTCGTAGTGATCCCATGTGACAGAGTAAAACTACCCCATAGGGTTTTCTTGGCAGTAATCTTTATGGAAGCAGATCACCAGGTCTTTCTCCTGCGGAGACGATGGGTAGGTTCAAACCACCAACCTTTAGGTTAGCAGTCAAGTATTTAACCATTTGTACCACGAGGCTCCTTACGACCAACGATTAAGAGTATGGATTCTAATAAAGCCAGAATACCTGGATTCAAATCCCGGCCCCAACACTCCTAGCTTAATCTCTCTGTGCCTCCGTTTCCTCATGTGGAAACTGGGAATAATCACCATACCTACCTTACTGGGTTGATGGGATGATTAAATGAGTTAATGTATGTAAAATGCTTAGACAAGTGCCTGGCATATGTTAAATGCTATATAAGTTTCTGTTAAACAAAATATACACTATTTACAGATGTGCACATTCACATTTCCAGTGGCTTTCGAAAGAAAGACTTTCTAATTATGCAGCAATTAATGGCAAATCGTTACAAGGTTCTACTTATCTGAGGGTAATTTCAAGGGAAAAGAAAGTATAAATATAATTTTTTTAAATCAATTGGACATTGTTTCAGCTTTATGGGACAAATGATGAAGAAGCCAAAGAAAAAGAAACAAAGGGGATTTTTCTTAGCATATTTTATCCACAGAATATTCTTTTGAGATAAAAGGGCTCTGACTTTTAATAATGGTGGAATAACTTGTATACGTTCCTTCTGATGACAATGATAAGTTCTAGACAAAATATAAAAGAAAACCAAAGGCACAGAAGAGTGACCAAAAGTAGGAAGGAACCTGAGGATATTCAACCCTTTAAAGAAGGAAACCACACTGCATGACAGCCACATTTATCTGGCTTTTCCTTTGAAGGCACCCCACAGTCCAAAAGGCACAAAGTGGATAAACCTCAAGAAGAAAGTCATAATCTTACTGGCTCAAAGAGTCAGAATGACTTTAAGTCTTCCATGATTGCTGGATATTAAGGGGTAATCCCAGAAGAAAAAAAAGGGAGCCACAGAGTAGAGAACCCTAAAATCTTCATATACTCTCCTCAACTCTTTGGCTGACACCTGTACTGTGTACATTTGGGGTGATACTCCCAGGAACTAAAGGAAAACAACAGCTGGAAGGCTGAAAAACCTGAGTAGAAAGCCTCAACAAAGTATCAGTAAACTGAATCAAGAAAATATAAAAAGAATTGGACATCATGACCAAATGGGATTTATCCCAGAGATGCAAGGTTGCTTTAACATCCGAACATTAATGTAAAAAAAGGCAATTAATGTAGCAATCATATCAATAGAATAAAAAACAAATATTACATGATCATCTCAATAGACACAGAAAAAGCATTTGACAAAATCTAACTCCCTTTCATGATAAAAACACTCAACAAACTAGGAATTGAAGGAAACTTCCTCAACTTGATAAAGACCAGTCTATGAAAAAACCATAGCTAATATCACACTTAATGGTGAAAGACTGGGTGCTTTCCCCCAAAGATTAGGAACAAGACAAAGATGTCCACTCTTGCCACTTCTATTCAATATTGTACTGGAAGTTCCAGCCAGGGCAATTAGGTAAGAAAAAGAAATAAATAGCATCCAGATTGCAAAGGAAGAATTAAAACTATCTATATTTGCAGATAATATGATCTTGCATATTGAAAACCCTAAGGAACCCACTAAAAAAAAACCTATTAGAATTAATAAACAAGTTCAGCAAGGTTGCAGGATATCAGATCAATATACAAAAATCAATTATATTTCTATACAGTTGAAATGAACTATCTGGAAATATAATTAAGAAAACAATTCCATTCACAATAGCATCAAAAAGAAGAAAATACTTAGAAATAAATTTTAAAAAAGTGCAAAACTTTGAAAACTACAAAACATGTTGAAAGAAATTTTTAAAGATCTAAATAAATGGAAAAACATCCCATGTTCATAGCCCAGAAGATTTAACATTGTTAAGTGACAACACTCTGTAAACTGACCTACAGATTCAACACAATCTCTATCAGAACTCCAGCTGACTTCTTTGTAGCAATTGACAAGCTGATTCTA